TTCAGAATCACATAGTATTATGCAACAAATTAGGGAAAGGAAAACTTAGAACAGCACATTAAAATGCAAAATAAACTACAACTAAAAAGAACATACTGCAAAACTGATTATAATCCTACAGGATAAAAAGATCACCCTTTAATAGAATCAACCACTTAACAAGCCATCTGTTGAGAAAACAAGAGCTGAGGAGACTTCTTGAAACAAAATGAAAGAAATAAGAGAAACCAGAAAGGTAAACAAGTTTGAGCAACTTAAATGAACTAAATGATCAAATGCTTAAAATCTAACTAAGATATAAATGACTAAAGCAGGGAAAGAAACTTGTAGCCTAAGTATGTGACCATGTTTTGAAGAAAATACTGAATACCATAGAAGGAATGAAGCAAGAAGAAATCATTATTTCTCATAATTTGGATACAACAGGGAAAATTACACAAACATTAAGGTGTGGAGAGCAGGTATACTCCTGAACCTGAGGCAATCAAGGAAAGGTTGAGGGAAAAAAAAGTAATGCATAGAAATACAAAAAACAAGGAGTTTAAGCAAGGACAGGGAAAGGAAAGAGAGAGGTTTTAAAATAGAGGCTTGACCATCTATAGTCATATGAAAAAATGCTCTAAATCATTATTGATTAGAGAAATGCAAATCAAAACAACTCTGAGGTACCACATCACACCTATCAGATTGGCCAACATGACAAAACAGGAAAATGATAAATGTTGGAGAGGATGTGGGAAAACTGGAACGCTAATACATTGTTGGTGGAGTTGTGAAATGATCCAACCATTTTGGAAAACAATTTGGAACTATGCCCAAAGGGCTACAAAAATGTGCATACCCTTTGATCCAGCAATAGCACTTCTAGGGCTACATCCCAAAGAGATCAAACAAATGGGAAAAGGACCCACATGTACAAAAATATTCACAGCAGCTCTTTTTGTGGTGGCAAAGAATTGGAAATTGAGAGGATGCCCATCCATTGGGAAATGGCTGAGCAAGTTGTGGTATATGAATGTAATGGAATACTATTGTTCTATAAGAAATGATGAACAGGCTGACTTCAGAAAAACCTGGGAAGACTTATATGGTCTGATGCTGAGTGAAGTGAGCAGAACCCAGAGGACTTTGTATACAATAGCAGCCACGTTATGCAATGACTAAGAATGTTAAACTGAACCCTTCTCAGCATTACGAGGATCTAAGACATCTCCAGAGGCCTCGGGATGGAAAGTGCTGTCCACATCCAAAGAAAGAACTATGGAAGTCAAATCGCTCTCGCTTATTTTTACCTTAAGTTGAATTTTGTTTCATCTTTCTGATGGTTCCTCCTATTGGTTTTAATTTTTACTTACAACTTCACTAATGTGAAAATATGTTTAATGGGTATGTAAATGTGCGCTGTCTTGGGGAGGGTGGGGGGGAGAAAAAGGGAGAAAAAATTTTCAACTCAAAAGCATATGAAAAAAAAATAAAAAAATAAAAAATAAAATAAAATAGAGGCTTGAGTTAGGGGAAGGAATAATCACTAAGGTCTTGATTTGTTGAATATGTTACAGTGAATATTATACCCTATACGGGTTGGACAAGATGGCATTTGAGGTCTGTTTCAATCCTTAAATTCTGTGATTCTATGAAAATAAATCAACTTAAAAGAATTAAAACTAAGTAAGACTTAAAAGAATAGAGACAATACCTAAGACTCAGTGATCTGGATCTGAACTAGGCTAAGCTGGAAGAGATGATTGAGATCAGACAATTCCAACTACATATATTGTTCATCTTGATCCCAATCCTGTTCTTTCTCCTCATGAAGAGAGAGGGATGAGGACAAAAATATAAAACATTGTAATAGAATAAGATGGAAGAAAAAATAACCTATCAACCAAGCATGTGAATGATATCAATTCATTCATACTGAAGTTAAGAGAATGAATAAGAATTAAAAAAAAACTCCTGTACAATTTATTTACAAGAAACATACCTCAAACATAAAAATTCAATACACTGAGTTAAAAATGAGGGGATGGAATAGACTATGGATTCCTAACCTGAGGTGAGTGAGTAGATACATATATACATACAGGCACACATACATACACACACACACACACACACGTATATATCCAAGAAGGTATGAGAAGCCAATCAAGGTGGTGACAGAATATTTGGCAAATAACTATGTCACCTTACTGATAAAATCAAACACATAAATAACCACTATAGGAAAGATTCCTTTTTTGAAAAGAACATGTGGGGAAATTGGAAAGCAGTTTGGAAGAAATTAGGTTTAGATGAACATCTTATATAGCACACCACAATAAGCTCAAAATAGGTACCTGTGCAAACAACTTGAATATAAAAGGCCACACCATTAAAAAAATTTTAGAAGAGAACAAGATCGTGTATCTTTTACAACTATGGCTGGGAAGATAATTTTTAAACAAACAAGAAACATCATAAAAGACAAAACAGACAACTACATAAAATTGTTAAAAGTTCTGCAGCAATAAAACAGACAGAATTAGAACAGTAATGGTAGTGTGAGAAAAATATTTACATCAATTATGAGAAAAGTGATATCCAAAATACTTTTGAAAGCAACTGATGCATATCAGTTGGTATAACTGATGCACCAAGTCATTTCTCAATATACAAGTGGTCAAAGGATATGATAAACAGTTTTCACTCTCTCAAAACGCAAATTATAAATTACATGAAAAGATATTCCACATCTCTAATAGTAAGTGCAAATTAAAACAACTCAGGTTTTACCTCATACCACACAAATTAGCAAAGATAAAGCAAGATGAGAACAGTATGTGTTAGAGGGGCCTGTAAAGAAATGCATACTGATTCACTACTGCTAGAACAGTAAAATGGCCTAATCATTCTGGATTTCAGTTTTGAATATATACAATAGAAGTGACTAAATTTAAACCTTCCAATTGAGGAATCCCACTACAGGGTATATACCCCAACAAAGTTAAAGACGGAAACAATATTCATAGTTAACACTCTTTGTGGGAGCAAAGTACTGAAAGAGAAGTGCCTGCCATCATCAACTGTGGATTAGCTGAGAAAATAATGGCATGTGAATGACATGCAATATGACTGTGCAGTAAGAAATGATGAATACAGGGAATTCAGAAAAACATGAGAAGATCTGAATGAACTGATGCAGAGCAAAACAAGAACTAAGAGGACCAGATACACACATTGACTACAACAATGTCAATGAAAAGATCAGCAATATAAATTAAAAGGAAGTCAAACTCTGAATAAAGGAAAAACCAATGATGGTCCCAGAGAACAGATAAGAAAACATACCTCTCTTCCCTCTTGGTAGAGAAGTGGGGGACTACTAGAACAGTATATTGTATAGACTGTCAGATGTAGTCATTGTATTGGATGTTTTTGCATAATTGTTCTTTCTTTTTCACAAGGGAGAGTTCAATCTGGAGGAGGGAGTTGAAATAACTCTGATGTAAAGACAAAAGGCATCAATAAAAGGCATTTTTAATTAAAATAAAATAAAAGATTTAATGAAGTGAACTGTCAAGTATGTCTCCAATACCTGACAATATTTGTTTGAACAATATTTGTTCAATACACAGAATGTAAAGTAGGATGGGTACTAGAGATTTTATTGTCGATACCCACCTCCCTTAATCTGAAAATTATCCAGTTTACCAGGCTCAAATACATGCATAATGCAAATTATCAAAACATTAATTTCAATTAATAACAATAGCTAGCACTTATACAGTACTTTACAGTCTGCAAAGCACTGTACATGTTATTTCATTTGATAAATGCATTATTGTATTAAATTATGACTCACATTTATATAGCAAATCTTAAAATTTTGACTCACAACAACCCTCAAAGACAATATAAGTATTGCCATCTCCATTTACAGATAAGGAAACTGAGGTTAGGAGAGCCAAGTGACTTGCTCAGGAATATATAACCAAATAAAAGCTTGAGTCAACTGGTCTCCTAAACCCAAATCCTAGTGGGCCTAAAGTCATAGTTTAGGCAAATCTTATGTAAATTATGCCTGTACTAAGATGATACTGCAGAATAAGAGGACTGGAAAGAAGGGAAGAAGTAAAGGGGGAAAGGGAGAGGAATGAACTGCCTCTGTAAGTTTACCATAGAAAATTCACCAAAAAAAAAGTGTTTTCACATACCAAAAAGGTGGTACAGTCAAATTATTTTTTAAATCAGCAAAGTTTAGTCAATGTGGAAAAATCTGTGAAACATCCGCATATACATACTATTTGTATTAATAAAGAACTCTTTCCTTCTAATCCTCCTTCAGAAAATTATGTTTCTTAAGAAATAAAATGAAGCTCTGTCCCAGGATGTCCAGGTAAAAAACAGTAAACTGCCAATTTCAAAAGGAATGTCTGCTCTACATAAACTACCAAAAATCAAAATCAAATACATAAGTTCAAGCTTAATTATAAGAATGTTCACTACATATTTCTTGCAATACTTAGAGGATGCAGAGCATCCTGAGTTGCAGGCAGCTCATCGTCAAAGTCTCTCTCATTTATGAAATGATTAAAAGGAAGCTATCTCTCACACACTTGTCCACGAGGGCAAGGATGTGTTTATCTGACTTTTCTAACTCCTTGCCCCACTCCCCAAGTGTTTAATGGCAGCTAGGCCACACACCTTGTGCTAGGCTTGGAGTCCGGAAGACCTGAGTTCAAATTCAGATTTAGACCCTTACTAGAAAAATTGCCCTAGGCAAAGTCATTTAACCCCGTCTGAATCAGTTTCCAAACCTGTAAAACGAGGGTAACCTCAACTGTAAAATACCACCTACCTCACAGGGTTGTTGTGAGGTTCAAATTAGTCAATATTAAATAATGCATGTTGCTTTCCTTTTTGTTCCCTAGTGTGTTGGCTGAGTTAAACCGAATTCACATAATAATGGCCAAATGTTGTATTCCTGCCTAACTTTCTCATCTGACACTGCTACTGACCTTTTTTTCTCTGCAACCTTCGAAAACAATCCAAATAATCAAGTTACACAGGTGTAAGCACAAGTCTCATTCCGTAACTTGTGAAAGGCCAAAAACAGCTTCAGATTCAGAATGGGTTACAATCAGAAGGTCAAAGCTCATCCTAAGATTACAGATTTAACGGTGAAGGGGATGTTAGAGGCCATTTAATCCAAACTCAATTTACAGATGAGAAAACTGAGGACCAAAGAAGTTACAGGACTCGCCCAAGGTCATACAAGAAGGCAGGACTTGAGCCCAGGTCCTGGGATAACAAAACCTTCGTTTTGTTTTGTTCTTGCAAATGAACCACGTTTTTCCTCCGCAACAATCCAATCACCAAGACACCAAACAAAAGCCACTCCTCTTAAAAGGGTCTGGCAGGTTAAACTAAGCAGTACAAAGTTAACACAAAAGGCAAAACCAGTCCTGAGTTTTTCTTTAATCCATAAAACCCCCAACTACATACGAGAAAAGACCCCATCCAGCGTCAGCAGGTTGATTTTTCCTCAATTCAGCCTCTTCGCACCCTGCTCTCGAGGAATGCGGTTACTTGGAACCTTTCCTCCAACTGACATACGGTGCACGTCAGTGCTCGGGTTCTCACCTGTCTCAGGGGCTGTTACTGCCACTGCAGACGTCCCCATAGTCTCCAGGTCATTGTTCATTTCCTCTCCCAAGCAGCTAGGTTGCATTACTTCCTTCCTAACATGCGCACGCCGTCTCTCGTGGCTGAAGTGTGAGGTTTCTTTCTCTCTACTAGATGATGTGTTTCATTTCCAGAGATACCAGGAGGGGCTCCAGGCGGCTCTCCTGCGTTTTCTTCGAGGCTTAGCTTTTGTTTCTAAGGCTTCATGGGACTCCCTCCCCGCACACGTCTCCCCTCCGCGCAAGGCCGAGCCCCCTGCTGCCCTGCCCCTCGCCTGCCCTTCCTCCCCTCTCGTCCTCTGTCCAAGGGCGCACGCGAGCCGAAGGTGGGGGTGGGGCGGCGAGGAAGGAGAGGAGCTGGGGAGTTTCAGCACCTGGGCTGAGTCGTGGCTGTCGCGCGCCCGTAGCACTCAGGAGGGTTGCGGATCCCGAAAAGGACTCGATACGAAGTAGACCCTAAGATTGCGGGCAGAAGGTGGCGAGGAGACGGTTCTGGAGGATCCCCCGTTCTTGAGAGGGAGAAAGAAGGCAAACCCTTTCTTCTAACTAGCCAAAGGAAACATGTCGACCGCCTTTGGGAGGGTTAGCTTGGGCGCCACTGAGCAAGCGGAAGTGAAACCTTCCAGACCGGGAGCAAGAAAAAAAAGAAAGTGAAAACTGAACTATGGCGTCACGCGTGGGCGGGCAACCCAGAGCAACGGCGCGCTCCCCGACGCAGGGCGGGGCTCCCCGTGGCGTCAGTGCCCGCGTCCCTGGGCAACCAAACCGACCTTGCCGCCGCTGGTCTGGCTATGCGGGCGCCCGCCGCGCCTCTGCCTACGGGCCGATTTCCCCTCTGGCAGTACGGGCCAGGCGTGGCCCCGAGGCTCGGCCTCTGCGGGTGGGAGGAGGAAGAGGGAAAGGAGAGACAAAAGGAAGGGAGGCGGAAGCGGAAGTGCAACTCTCGGAAAAGGAAGGCCAGCATTGGGAGAGTTGCCAGGAAACCAGGCCCCCAAAAAAGCATCTTTGTAGAGGGACCTCTTCCTGCCACCTCGGCCGGCTCGGGGCTAGCAGAACCCCCCTTGGCCGCGTTAGGGTCCAGCATCCCACAGTTTCCCTAGAAAGTAACAAGAAGTGTGTGATATGTCAAGATACGGCCCCAACACGGGGTGGGTCGCCGTGGGGGACGCAAAAGAAGCCAACCGCAAGGTGCTTCATCTTTAGTTGTGGGGTTTCATTACATACATGCATACATACATGATTTTTTTTTAGCATATAAACGGAGCATTCTAAGCCCATCATAGAATTACAGAAGAGACCTTGCGCATTTTCAGGTCTGAACCCTTCATTTTAGAGATGAAAAAACTAGAACAAGCAGAAGAAAATGCAAATGGAGACACACAGAAAAAGAGGAAGTGTTAGTATTAATCAACAAGTATTTGTTAAGAACTTGCTGTGTGCCAGGCACTACACTAGGCTCTGGGAGTATAAGTTGTTCAGTTGCATCCAACTCTTTATAACCCTATTTGGGCTTTTCTTGCCAAAGATAACTGGACTGGTTTGCCATTTTCTTCACCAGTTCATTTTACAGATAAAGAAACTGAGGTAGACAGTTAAGTGGTTTGCCCAGGGTTACACAGCCAGTAAGTGTCTGAGGCCAGATTTGAACTCAGGGAAATGAGTCTTTCTGACCCCAGGCCACCTCACTGTGTGCACTGCCCCATATACAGAATTAATATGCACAGAATAAATACAAAATAGATTGGGGGATAGAGAGGATACTATCAGTGGTGATTAAGAAAGAGTTAAGGTAAAAGGTAGGTTTTGAGCTAAGTCTTACAGGAAGTGAGGCATGAGAGTTGGGAAGCATCCAGTGCCAAGAAAGGTGTGGAGTGGAAAGGGAGTGCTGTGTTTGAGGAAGAGAAAGAAGGTCAATTTGTTTTGTGCATATTTTGGAATTTACTAATTTGTGACCTGAAAAAGGCCTTTCTTGATTCTCCCAGTTGTTACTTCTTCCTCCCACCTTAACCCCCAATTATTTTTATTTATTTTGTACATTTTTGGAATTTGCCAATTTGTGAAAAGAAAATCAATTTGACTGGACCATACAATATAGGAATGGGAGTAATGTATAAATAAGGGTGGAAAGATAGAATGAACCAGTTTGTGAAGTGCTTTACAGTTGATTCTAGAGTCAGTAGGGAACCACTGGAACTTTTTGAGTAGTGGAGTAACACTCCATATATACTTAAGAACAATTGCCTTGTTGTCTGTGTGGAGGATGGATTGGAGTAATGAGAGACTAGGTCAGGAAGACCATTTAGAAGGCCTTTGCAGTATTGTCTAATCAAGAGGTGATAAAGACCTGAACTGAGATAGTGGCTGTGTGAACAGTGAGAAGGGATCAGGTATAAGAAATGTCATGGAGGTAGATTCCAAGAATAAAGGAGTAATAGGAACCATCATCATCAAAAAATATTTAATAAATGCTTACTCTATGCCAGTTACCGTGTAACTGGCTGAGGATTTGAAGAAAAGAAGCCTTACTCAGGGAGCCTACAATCTAAAGGGACAGACAACATGAAAACAACCGGGTACATATAAGAAGGGAAAGGAAATGAGAATTTATACAATGCCTACCGTGTGCTAGGCACTGTGCTAACTGCTTTTTATAAATATTGTCTCATTTGATCCTCACAACCACCAGGAACTATTATTGCCATTTTATGGATGAGAAGGCAAACAGAGGCAAAGTGCTTTGCCCGGGATCATAGAGCTAGTAAGTGTGTCTGGTTGGATTTGAATTCGAGGCTGACTCCAGGCTCAGACCTTTATTCACTGAGCTACCAGTTGCCTCTACAAAATATAGATATACATATGTATGTGCGTGATGTATATGTGTACATATACATAGTGTAAATGGAAGATAATCTCAGAAAGAAGGCACTAGGAAGGAGGAAGGAGTGGAGAAGGATCAGGAAAGGCCTCTTGCAGAAAGTAGGATTTGAGAATTTAATAGAGCATGTGGGGCTCTCCTTTCAGGGATTTAAGACCCAGTGAGAGAAATTACTATTTTCTATTATATTAATAACCAATCATTAAATTCGAATTAAGGCTTTTTCTCTCTATTTCCTCATTGTGGGACCAGCCGCTGTAAGACAGTCATTGCAGATGAATGAGGTGGTCCAAATCCTCAGGGAACATAAGCCTTCATCTTGGATGGGCCCCCACCCAAGTAGGACACCTTACTTCTTGACAGTGTAATCATAATCTAGGTGAATTCCAGCCCCAAAGCATTAAGCCCATGTCTGCATGCACGCCTTCATTGGAGTTTGGGGTAACTTAGCTCATGCAAGAGAAACCCAGCTTGAGTGGTCTAAGTAGAGACGGATTCTTTTGTGCAGATTGCTGGAGGTAGCTGAGTCTCATGATCAAACCTCATTCTCAGCAGGAGGAGCTGAAGGCTTTCCTAGGGACGTAGATCCTAATGGCCCTTGGATCAGAATATAATGAAAATTTCTGGCCCATCTTGTAGGAGTCCCAGCTACACTCCAACTCTTTTAAGTTAACACAACCTCCACAACAAAAAAAATATTTCTCACACCACACTTTGGCCTTCTGGTTCTTGGTTGGGTAGGCCTGTGCCAAGTCCTGTTGATTCTACTACTAGATCCAGCTCTAACTGACTTGTGAGAGATTGTCACATTTTTTATTGTGAGCATTTATACCTCAGAATCTCAACTGGCTACAAATCAGACTTTCTTTTTAATTATCTAGAATTCAGAAAGTGTTAATAATGCAAATTAAACTTAAAGCATGTAACATTTTTCCCCTCAGATTCCAAGCACACTCCTGTATTACTCTATAGACACTGCTTGAATTCAGTAGGAAGGCAGTAAAAGGCTCAGGGAATGAAGTCATCGCCAACTGGAGTCCTGGCAGCTAGTGGCTTTATTATTTCTAATAACAGGCATTTATATAGTGCTTTAAGGTTTACAAAATGCTTTACATCCATTATCTCATTTGATCCTTACAGAATCCCTGATTTTATTTCATTTTTCCAATTTCTTGTATACATGCTTCTTCTCTCCACTGACACTGTCACCCCGATAGTGGTGACATAGGCCCTCAATACCTCATGCCTGAACTATTTCAATATCTTCTGGTTAGTCTTCCTGCCTCAAGTCTCTGCCCACTCCAGTCTGTCCTCCCTCAGCTATCAAAGTGATCATCCCAGATTACAAGTGTGACCTAGTCACCCCACCCCACACCCCGATTCAGTAAATTCCGAGGGTTCCCTATTACTTCCAAGATCAAATGTAAAATCCTGTTTGCCTTTTAAAGCCCTCCATAGCCTGGCCTCTTTTATGTTTCTGGTCTTCTTATACTTTACTCCCCTATGCAAATTCTATGATCCAGTGACCCTGGTCTCCTTGTATTTCCTTAAACAAGGCACTCTATGCCTCAATTTAGTGAATTTTCACTGGTTATCCCTCATACCCGGAATTATTTTACTCCTTATCTCCACCCCTGGGCTTCTCTCACTTCCTTCAAGTCTCAGCTAAAATTCTACCTTCTATA